AGCCCAGGAGTTGGAGGTTGCTGTGAGCTGTGATGCCATAGCACTCTACCCAGGGTGACAGCTTGAGGCTCTGTCTCAAAAAAAACAAAAAAAAAACAGTCCTGGCTAAAATGACAAGCAGCAGCAGGTAAAGGAGACTGAGACACTGTTAGGTGATCCTGGAGCTAATATCCCGGGGCTGGCAGGCCCCTCTTCCCTCACACCTGCATGGCAGTCAGACTCTGCACTTATGGAGGAAATGGAAGCTCAGAGAGGTGATGGAACATGCTTTAACCCACACAGTTAGAATGTGCAGGACCTGGATTCTGAGTCCAGGCAGGTTGATTACAAACCCAAACACCTCCCTCTCCTAAGTGGCCAAGATTATTTAAAGGCCCACAACTGAATCCCAGGCTTTCTGCTCCAAGGTGAACACTACGCATTAGACCAGTGGTGCCCACACTTTAATGACTGGGCTGGAGATCTCATTAAAATGCCAATTCCCCTTCAGTGGGTCTGGGATGGGGCCTGACTCTACATTTCTACACGTTCTCCTGTGACCCCTGCTGCAGATCCATGGAGCACAAAAAGCTTCAGCTGATCACTGCAATGGGTAGAGATGCCTGAGGAGCTCCTCGTGTGCGTGGGTGAGAAGAAAATGGAAAGTTCTGACGTGGATAGCCCCCAAATGCACAAAGCTGCCTGGACCTCATGAGCAGCTAAGAGTTCCTTTCGAAAATGGTCCCCTGCATGGATAAACTCACTAGGCCACCACTGGCGCTCCCAGAAGTGTTAGTTCCTGAATTGCACCATATCATTGTTTATGTCTGGTGTGTCCTCAGTGTCTCCACAGAGATGTTCCAAGCCCACCATTGACAAAGCATAGTCACATCCATTATCTTGGGTCACTCACAAAAGCCTCTGCATTAGAGATGCTTCTTCCTGCCACTTCGTGCGTAGAAACAGGGAGGGTCAGCCAGGCAGGGCACTGGTCAGAGCCAACCCTGGGCCTGTGCTCTTGCTACACCCTTTTCTGTTGTTGATTTCACTTTCCAGGTGTGAGACAAGTCAGCAAACCCAGCCCCCCTCAGCGGGTCATTACCCAGACTGGGTCACTTTTGTGGAGTGGGAGGATAAATCTATGGCCCCCACAGGCTCTTATCCTTCCCCTCACCCCCACCCAGCCCAGAGTCAGGGCTACACCCTCACGCAGTCCTCACACCCAACAAGCTGGCTCACTCTGTGCGGAGGGGCTGGGCCTCACCTGTGAAGTTGACGGTCACAGCCACAATGATGATGACGATCCCCATGACGATGAAGGTGATGCTGAGCAGCCGGGCCAGGCGCCCCAGCCTCCGGGCCCCATCCCGGTCCCCCTGCTGCACGCTACTCCGAGACTGTAGAGAGAGGATGGCAGGGACCTCAGAAAGGCTGCCTGTCAGCCACATTGGCCTCAGCATCCCTGGGGTGGCGCTAGCCTGGGTTCCCAGGCACACCTGCGCCCACTGCAGCCCACACTCCAGCAGCTCCCCTAGGGGAGAGGAAGAGGCCTCCTCCTGGAGAAGGGGCTTGGGCTTCTTGTGGGGACTTAACCAAGTCCACCCCTCAGCTGGGAGCAGAACCAAGCAATCCAGGGCACTTCCTCTCAGGACCACAGCAGGGCGGGGTGGTGTGGCAGGTGAGAGGGTAGACCAGGTCCAGGCCAGCTGGCAGGAGCAGACAGGCCTGACCTCTGCAGACCCCAGCCCAAGGCTCAATTCTGCAGCCACTCTGGGATCCTGTGGGGCTTTTTCTACAGCCTGACATGCCTGCCTCCTTTCCTCTGTGAGTCCCACTCTTGCCATGAAAGAGAGAAAGCGTGCTGTCTTCACTGCCACTATTTCCCACCTAAGACCTACATCCTTTCTCCACCAAGCTCTCTCTCCACATCACACAGGAAGGTGAAGCACCTTGCCTGAAAAGCGGGGGCTGGGTCAGAGCCAGTGGCTTCATGGGGCCGGTTTTACAGATGGCTCCATCTCAGTGAGCTCGGCTCTTCTTGAACTTGGTTAATCAGGTGGGTGAGGGTGGGGACAGAAGGGTTAAGGACAGGCAGGATGCTAGGAGGGTGCCTTGGCAGGAGGTGTGTCCCAAGCCAGGAATGGGGGCCCCAAGATCTCCAGGCTCCTCCAGCTCTCGAACTCCCTTCTTTCTTCTTGCACTTGCCCCAGCCTCCCCAGGAAGGGGCATGGGCAGGGATCTGCTAACCATGAGACTGTTCTCAGGGCCTCTGGGCAGGCATTTGCTTATTTTATTTTCTGATTATCTGAGGCTCTTGAGCTCAGCATGGAAATGTAGTTAAGGATAATGATGATGGTGATGATGATGCCCTTACTTGGTGCCAGGAAGCTTGCTAAGGATGGTACCTAAATTATTTCATTTAGTCTCAGAACCATCCTCCGAGGTTGGCAGGGCTGTCGCCCTTCCCTGAGGAAGAAGCTGGGGTTCAGAGAAATTTCCTCTGTTCTTGTGTAGGCACCCCCTGCAAGCCTCTGTCCCCTTCACCTCTCAGAGTTGTAAGAGCCCCCACTCCCAACTCTGCGCTTCCATTCCAAGTTTCTTCAGGACAGAGTGACATCAGACTCCATCTGCTTCTTGCTGATGCCTCTCCTCCCATTTGCCCAAGCCCCCTCTCACACTGTGCACAGGAGCCCCAACCCTAACAACAACACGATCAGGTAGGAATTCCTACCCCTCACCTCTCTACTGTCTGTACCCCATGTTTGTCTCCACCTCTCAGGCCACTCCCTTAATTTGTCTGCATGGAGATTTCACCAGCCTCCTCCTCACTGGCCCCTCTGTTCCAGCCTTGCCCCTTCCAACCTCTCCTCCCTATTACAGCCAAGATGAGATCTTTAAAAAGTCAAGCCTGGGCTCGGCACCTGTAGCTCAGTAGTGAGCTACGAACTGCCAGGTTTGAGCCCAGCCTAGGCCTGCTAAACAACAATGACAACTACAATTAAAAAAACATACCCAGGCATTGTGGCGGGTGCCTATACTCCCAGCTACTTGGGAGGCTGAGGCAAGAGAATCACTTGAGCCCAAGAGTTTGAGGTTGCTGTGAGCTGTGACACAATAGCACTCTACTGAGGGTGACATAGTGAGACTCTGTCTCAAAAAAAAAAAAGAAAGAAAGAAAGAAAGAAAAAAGTCAAGCCTGGTCTTGGCTCCCCGTGAAAGGGATATACTTTTATGCCTCGGTGTCTTTGCACCCACTGTCCTCCCTACTGGAATGCCCCTCATCATCACCACATTGCCACCACGACAGCTCTTCATCTTTCAAGAGTCATCCCCGGGAAAACCTTCCCACAGCGAGTAATCCGCTCCTTCTGGGGCTCCCATGGCATCTTGCACAACTCTTTGTTTTTCCTTGTGTCATTGTTTCTTGTGGCTGTGCGGCTCTCCTTCTCTAGACTGTAAACTCCTTGAGGGCAGGAGCCATGCAGCCTCCATCCTGGTATCCCTCACATCTAACCTAGGGCCAGGCCCCAGTGGGTTCTCAGTAAGTATTTGAAGAAGAAAAGAATAAAGGGTGAGAGAAAAAGAACCAGAGGAAGGTCTGTTTTCTAATGACAGAACTTCATGAAAGAAATAAGGGGTACAGGCCCCACTGGAAAGACACCTCGCTGTGGGGTTTGGCCCCACTCACTAACACATACCAGCTCCAGCTCCCTGCATGACCAACCAGATCACTGAACTCAGGGCGTCAGTGACTCTGCAGCATTAGGAGAAAGAGGCGGCAATATGCAGAAAGGCCTCAAGGGTTTCTGGGAACTTTGGTTTTAGAAAGTCTGGGCCACCCTGAATCATTGCCGGAGGACTTCTCAGCTGCAAACATGACACTCAGGGGAAAGGAGCAGGGTTTAGGAGGTCTGCTCCCCTCTTTCCAGAGGAACAGCTGTGCCTTCAGGACCATAGAGAGAGCAGAGATGAGCTGGCTTGGGTACGAGGCAGGTGGGAAAGGAAGGGGAGGAGAGAGGGAAAGAGAAGGATGGATCTTTCTTTGGTGAAGCTAAGTCCAGCCTCTTTATCAATGGATCCGTGGACCCCACATCTCAGTTACATACATTTGAGCCTGAGAGATACATTGAGAAAGATGCACTGGGACCAGCTGGAGCAGGGCAGAGCTGATCATGCCGTTTTGCTGTGTCAGGTACTTTTTATACACTATCCAGTATAACCATCCCTACTATCCTGCAAATCCTAGCTTTCTGGTCTATACAAGAGAGAGAAAATAGCCACCTCTAAGAGCAGACTCCTAACTCATGGCTGGCAATGACTCCATGGCCTGGAGGACCAGGACTAAGAAGTGACTCACACAGGCTTGGGAGTCACCCCTCCTGGCACTGAATCCTGGACTCACCTCTTGCTGGCTGGTGGCCTCAGGAAGACTACTTACCCTCTCCAAGTTTCAATTCTTCACCTATAAAATCTCGCAGGCTGTTATCAAGACAGAGAAGCTCCTCACCCCTACCTGGCACTCAGTTCTGAAGTCCCCCACTAGTTACCAAATGAAGAATCAAGCCCTTGGCCCTAGGGATGGAAGGAGATCCTCCATCTCTTTTTAATGAGTAAATTACCTGTTGCTTTCCCCATTCCCACTCAGTGGCATCATCTTTCCATCCAAAATGACTTAAAGTAAAGGCACAATAATGATCATTGCAGTAGTGGCTGTACTGGCTGCGCACTAACAGATCATGGTGATTGCAGTAGCTGTGGAAGTAGGGGGAGGGGAGACAGTTGGGAAGTGTGAGAGCAGAGAGGAAAGTGGGTGGGGTGGGGGGGGGCTGGGGGGAGTTGCCAGAGGCTGAAACCAGCTTGAGGAGGGAAGCAACAGAAAACAGAACTTCTCAGGCAAGAGCCGCTTCCACCCCTGAGGCTTGAGCCCAGCCCCTGGGGTCTGAGAAGGTGTGCCAGGGCCTAGCGGCGGTTAGTCCTTCCACCCAGACACCTGGACAACCGCCTCCTGGCAGGTCAAGGCCCCCTCTCCCACCTCCAGGCCATTGTTCCGGGAATTCCCAGACTCCAGGTTAACCCTTCAGTTGCTGTAGAGTAGGAAGGTCTGTAGAGTAGGAGGGTCCGCGGGAGGAGTCAGGTGGTGTGGGAGGGGCTGCCGTGGTGGGAGGGGCTGGCAATGCTTCGGACAGCAGCAGCTATTTACGAACCAATTCTTTAGTACATCAGTGTTTGAAGCCATATGTCTGCGTGCCAGTTTACCGCCAGCCTTGGTTGGGGCTCATTGCGCTTGCTGAGTGAAAGGATGGATGCACAAATGAACGGAAGCGTGACAAAATTCACCGCACTGTACATCACATCAACTAAAGAATTCGGTTATAAAATACATCTAAGAAAGGAAATAGTGAAGGCCCTCAATCTCTGTGGTGCTCCCACGTGCTGTAGCAACAACCCACAGAAACAGGGATGCTCAGGGGCCTCCACCCAAACCAGTGGGGCCGCCCACCTCCCCAGGGGCTGACATGAGGGATGAGACCCCATTCTCCCAAAGTTGGTTAAGGTCAGAAGTGCCTGTCCACTAGGAATTCGCCCTTTCCTCCCACATTGCAAAGTTAATAACAGTAACCACTTCCATTCATTAAGCATTTAGTATGTGCCAGGCTCTGTGCTAGAGGCTTTCATATGCATTAGCTCATTTAATCCCCGGACTGCCCTGTGAGCTAGATGGTTTTATTATGTCTAACTTATACATGAAGAAACTGAGGGCAAGGAGGGAGGCTGAGTGATAGGGACATGATCACGTGGCTCAGAAGGAACAGAGCTGTTCTATCACTATTGCTGACTAAAGGCCAGCTGCTGGGGGGCTAGTGCCTTCACTGTCAGATCTTTCTAACAGGGAGGAACACGGAGATTTTGCAGCTTGACCCAGAAGTAAACTCTGGCCACCCCTGGAGGCTCACAGGAGGCCTCAGGGCTGAGCAGGGCTGGGGCTGGACACCTGTGATCACAGCTGTGGAGCCCCTCAACCACCAGCCCTGGTTACAGCTGGCCTCTGTCAAAGCCACAGTGGTGCCAGGCTCTGTGTCTCACACCTATGATCCCAGCACTCTGGGAGGCTGAGATGGACAGATGGCTTGAGCTCTGGCATTCAAGACCAGCCTGAGCAAGAGTGAGACCCCATCTCTACTAAAAATAGAAACATTAGCCAGGCATGATGGTGAGCTCCTATAGTCCAAGCTACTCGGGAGGCTGAGGTAGGAGGATTGTTTGAACCCAGACTCTAAGGTTGCTATGAGCTGTGATGATGTCATGACACTCTACCCCAGGGTGACAGAGGGAGACTCTGTCTCAAAAAAAAAAAAGCTACAGAGGCCCCTGCTGGTGGGGTAGAAGGCGGTGGGGGGGGGGGGGGGGGAGGAAAAGAAGCCAAGAAAGAGGGAGGGAAGTGAAATTCTTCCCTCCTTGCATAAATAGCCTGCAAGTTTTGGCTTTCTTGGCAAATATACACCATCCTTGTCTCCAGAACTAGAGGCAGATGGGGCCGTGGAGAGAGCAGTGATGTGCCCGCCCAGCTGATGTACACCTTACCAGCCATGTGGCTGTGGCCAAGGCACTGCTCTGCATGGGGACAGTGAAGCAGACTTTGTTGAGCTCATGTCCCAGCACACTCCACAGTCAGCAAGAAGCTCTACAGAGGCTGTCAGAGCTGGGGGTCTCCTGCCATCCCTGGGGTCATGGGCTTGAGCCTTCACTTGGTAACCAATGGGGGCATTTCTGATGAGGAGTTCTGAAGTCTGCCCTCAGGACCTGGAGACAGCATAGGAAATTTCCTCTCTTACCACACTCTCTGTCCCTCCTTCTACCCTTTGATGCCATGGGGTGGGACCAAGTGTCACTGCCCTACATGGATAACTGACCTCCCTGCCTGGGAAATAGGGATGTCCTGTGAACTGGACTGGTTTCCAGAACAAGGGAAACAACTGGGAGCACACCCACTAATGCTCCCTGCCTGGCTGTCCCCTGATTCCCAGGGGAGCAGCCTAGTGTTGGGGGTGGGAACATGGGCGCTCACTCTGGGCAGCTGGTCCCAATCCTGGGGTTCACACTTACTAGCAGGTTATTTCATGCCTCTGTGCTTCAGTTTTCTCCACCATAAAATAAGGACAATAATATCTACACCTCAGCTGGGCAAGGTGATTCCAGCGCCAGCCACATACACTGAGGCTGGCAGGTTCAAACCCAGCTTGAGCCAGCTAAAGAACAATGACAACTGCAACAACAACAGCAAAACAGCTGGGTGTTGTGGTGGGCACCTACTCCAAGCTACTTGGGAGGCTGAGGCAAGAGAATTGCTTAAGCCCAAGAGTTTGAGGTTGCTGTGAGCTGTGACATCACGACACTCTACCAAGGGTGACAGAGTGAGACTATCTCCCTCCCCCACAAAAAAAAAAAAAAGCCTACACATCATTGGGGCATAGTCAGGATTAAGTGAGACAACATAAGTAAAGAGTTTAGAACTGGGTTCGGCGCCTGTGGCTCAAGCGGCTAAGACGCCAGCCACATACACCTAAGGTGGCGGGTTCGAATCCCCAGCCAGGGCCCGCCAAACAACAATGATGGCTGCAACCAAAAAATGGCCGGGCGTTGTGGCAGGCGCCTGTGGTCCCAGCTACTTGGGAGGCTGAGGCAGGAGACTCGCTTGAGCCCAGGAGTTGGAGGTTGCTGTGAGCGTGATGCCATGGCACTCTACCCAGGGGGATAGCTTGAGGCTCCGTCTCAAAAAAAAGAGTTTAGAACTGTGCCTAACATTTACTAGGTACTCAGTGAATGATAATATGCATAATATTATCCCTCAACGCTAGGCTTCCTCAATTTCCTTCTCCCTGATATTGGGCTTGACATCCTGGCTTCTGATATTTCCCCTTAGAAATTCACTTCCACAACTACACTTCAACCCTTGCCATCACCCCACCTGGCTCCTCCTTTGAAATATCAGCTCCAAAATCTCTCTCACCACCCCCATAGCCTTTGACTTCTCTGGGCCCTGCCCATGACCTCTTCCTCTCCTCCAAGGCTGTTACCATCTTCCCAGCCCAGTCCAACCCTTCCAAGTGTCATCCCTGCCAACATCTTCTGTGCCACCTGGTTCTGTTCTCACAGCATCTCTGCCATCCTCAGCCTTGGGTCCACCCCATGCCTAGGTCTAGAGACAATCCCACCCCATGGGAGTCCTCAGACTCACTCCTTCCCAGGCATGTCTCCCCTTTCTCTATTCTTCCTCCCACCTCCTGGAATCACCTTTTCAAACCCTTATCTGTCCACAGCCCTCTGCCCATGTCCTAAATGTTGTAGGTCTCCAGAGCTCTCTCTGGGATGGCTCTAATATTTCTGAGGGACAGCCAGAGCCTGAAGCAAACCCTGATTCCCTCTCCTCTACAGTTCTCTCAGTGACCCTCTGCTGGGCTTGGTGCTGAGTCCAGATCCTCATCAGTCCTGCCTGGACTATCTCAGGAGCCTCCTACAGCGTCTTTCTGCTCAAGCCCATTCCCACAGTACTGGCCATACCCTGCCTCTGCTTGAAACTCTTTAGCAGCTCTTCAGAGCCACCAGGATGAAACAAATCCCTACAATGAATCCCCGCCCAACTCCCTCCCCATCCCACCCTCTGTGCCCAAACAGACCATCAACTGATCTTATCCATCCACTTCCCAATGCCTAACACAGTGCCAGGTTCATAAAAGAGGTACGTTCTCGGGGGGAGCCCCATCATCCTCTACCGCTTACTTCCCTAGAATAAGCAATTTGCCATTTAGGTTGGCTGAATGAATGAAGGGCAAGTAAAACCAGGTCTTAGAGGGTTTCCAGAAACTCCCCTCTGCCTCTCGCCACAACCCTCATCCAGGCCTCTTTGCCTGTCATCTGCACATTCCCACAGAGGCCCCCTCACCTGATCGCCAGCCTCATCCCAGCAGCCCCTCCTTTCACTTGCACCAAATTGTCCACCCAAATGGAAATCTGACCACACCCCTCCCGGCCCTAAGTGCCTGCTACAGCAGGGGAGGAGGGAGCTTGAAAACCTTAGCTAAGTGACATGAGTCAGGAACAGAGGGCCACTCAGTATGGGATTCCATTCTGAAATGTTCAGAATAAGGAAATGTATAGAAACGGAAAGATTAGTGATTGCCCAGGGCTGGGGAGGAGGGTTGGGGAGTTGCCAGAGTGTGCAGAGTTTCTTTTGGAAATTTTCTAAAATTGATTGTGGTTACTATCACACCCGTCTGTGAATATGCTAAAAACCATTGAATTGCACACTTTAGGTGGGTGAATTGTGTGGCAAGTGCATTATATCTCAACAGAGGTATTTCTTTTAAACCCACAATGGCTTCCCATCCCCAACTAGGAGCCACCCAGCTGCCACTTAATTGCTATTACCACATAATATCACCATCGACTCACTTAAGCACTTTGTGTGGTCTATCCCATTTCTAACGCAGATATTATAGTTATGCCCATTTTGTAGGTGGGAATACTGAGAAGAGGCATTTGAACGGCTTGCCCACAGCGACATAATTACCTTGTGGTTGTGTCTAGCATGGGTGCTTCTTACCATGCTACAAAGTTTCTCCCCACTTCTTCCCAGGATGGAGGCTCCTGGGAATTGGCAATTGGTGTCTGGTTTAGCACTGTATTCCTTGCACCCAGCCCAGTGACCATCAAACCTGACTCAAGAACTTTAAAAGGGTATAGAAATGCTCCGGGGGTGCATTCGGTGGTCTCACACCCTTGGACTCAGATTCCCTTTGACAAGAGCAGCTCCTACCCAGGCTGCAGGCCACCCCCTCTGGGAGGCAGATTCTAGCAACTATTTTCTCCTGAGCCCTGTATGGCTTCCCTCCCCAAAGCTTATATCCCCTCCTGGGACCTTTCCTTGTAACCAAGAGATTGACCCTGCCCAGATGCACTGGCTGCACGTGAGGGCCTGGCTCTGCCTCCAGCTGTCCCGAGGGTAGCAGGCATCACAAGAAGCTCCTTGGAAGGTATCCACCCAGGGCTATGCTCAGCCCTGGCTCTTGAGCCCATGCCAAGTTCTTTGGACTCAGGAGTGCTAGGAGTGTCCCCTGATGTCCTGGAAGGGGTACTAGATATGATGTGGGGCACAGAAGGCTTCCCTGGCTGGAGCCCAAACCTTCATGAACAGGACAGAGGTGAGAAATATGGGCTTTCTCAGAAGACAGCCCAGAGCAAGCACAGCTCCTGGGGACTTGACCGATGACTCAGCAGGAGTCACGCCAGATGGGAGCAAACAGTTTCACCCCACCCAGTCCTCTGACCCTGACCAGCCTGGGCTCTTAACCTCATTCTGAAAGTTATTGCCATTCCCAGCTTTTCTCTCTCTCCTTCTCTGTCTCTCTCCTTCCTGGAAATGTCACTTGCCAATACCTATGAACCTTTTCTGTGGGATCCTCTGTAAGTGGTTCTAATGCCTTACATTGTCCCCAAATGGCTTAGATTGAGGACAATGTAAGACAATTCACTCAAAAAAAGTAAAGACATCAGTACATGCCCCTCCCTGGCAAGGCTGCCCATGCCCTCTGACTATAATTTTTCACTCATGACCCAGACCTCCCTTGCCCTAAAGCCCTTGAAGTCAGATGCTAAAATCAGTGTAGCCACCAACGTCCAGAGGGCTCCAGCAGACACCACCCCCCATCCTGGGGAGCAGCCTGCAATCCCTCCCCTCCTTGTGTGCCCCTCGGGGGAACCAGGCCCTGGAGCCTGCAGCATTCAGCAGAGAAACTGCTGTTGGCTCTTGGAAACCAGAGCTGGCAAAGGCTGGTAGAATGCCCAGGGCACCCAGGGGGCCTGGCTCCCTTCTGGGATCACTGGGCCCTGGGACCCCTTTCTGACTGCAACCTCTGCTGAGACGGAGGCCTACTCAGGAATGACTTTGGGGGACAGTCTTCCCCTTTATAAAAAGCAAGACTCCCAACTTGGCTGTCTCTCTGCCCTGCAGGATTTAGCTCCAAGCAGCTCCTGAGTCCCTCTCCGCAGCAGCCATAGGTGCAAAATCAAGCCGAGATGCCCAGAAGCAAAGGTGAAAGAGGACAGCAAACAGAAGTTCTCAGCCCTTGGCCCCTCTCCAAGGTCAACGAGGAGGCCCACTGAGGAAGGAGGTCCTCCCGCAGCCCCCAGCATGCTGCTTAGTTTTCTCTACACCCTAGGCAGCTCGTGTGGTACTGCCAGCCAGCCCCGGGAACAAACAGCAGTACTTACCATGATAGAAAAGATGAGGGGGATGAGGTTGAGGGGCCAGACAGGGCAGAAGCAAGAGACAATGGCAAGGATGAGGTAATCTTTGGGGACTTCCTGGTCCTGGGCGTAGGAGGTGGTGGCAACGGAGGACGCCCGCCTCGAGCTGGCCCGTGAGGGGGACCGGGGAAGTGAGGCCTCCAGGTGCTTCTCAGAGATCGCCTTGTAGGGCAGGCTGTGGCCATTCTGCTCCAGATCCAGAGCTCCTGAGAGGGACTTGGACAGATTCAGGGTCTTGTCATCCTTGTCCTCTACCTTGGTGAGGAGTTTCTCCATCTCCGGCAGCTCCAGGGGTGAGGTGGAACCTGACTCCTGCGCTGGAGGCAACTGAGGCTGCAGGAGGTTGGCCATGTCGGCCCGGGTCTTGCACTGCTCTAGCTCCAGGATGGAACAAGGGGCTCTAGAAGGCCCTCAGCCCACCATTCTCCAGCCCCAGGGAGGGGCAGAAGCATCACCCAGGGGATGAAGAGCCAGCTGGGGGCCAGGAGGGCCGGCTGAGTTCAGAGGTAGGGACCTGGTGCCTTGTGGAGCTCCCTGGAAGCTGGAGCCAGCCCTCAGATCAGTTCAAGTTGGAAGCCAACTTTACTGGCGCTGCTGACAGCACAGATGGGCAGAGAAGCAACAGAGAGCTCAGAGAGCAGAGGAAGAATGCTCTTCCCGGGAGGCTGAGAGTGTGCGTGTGCGCGCCACACAGCCTCCCTCCCTCTCTGCCCTCCTTGGAGATACTTTTCTTTTTCAATTCCTCTCTCCCCAGAGAACCACTCTGCAGCATTCTGCCCGCCCCGCCCAGCCCAGCCCAGGGGGATTGGGACAGCCTCCACCTTCCACTGCAGCCCTAGGGTCTGCTCCTGGAGCCTGGGGGTGTGGATGAGGAACAAAGTGGGTCACAAAGGGGTGTGTCCTCCGCCGTCCTGGGACTGAACATTCCTCTTCTCTTCGGCCACAGCAGGCTCATGCTTCCTCCTCTCTGCTAGAAACTCTGGGCCCCAGGCCCACCGATCACATTCCACCCAAACCCTGACCCCTGACCCAGAGACATCCAGACCAAAGCCTGGGTCCCGGTTCCAGGGGGAGAGGAGATGAGAGCATCGTTGTGCCCCCTGGAGGATCCGCCTGGCTGGAGATGAGCAATCTGAGGGGATGTGTTGGCTCCATCTCTGCCCCAGCAAGCCTGTCCGGTGGGGCTAAAGAGCAGGAAAGCAAAGGTCCTCCTGCTCCAGGGCTGCTCAGGGCAGATGCCAGCTCCCAAGGGCCTCCGATTCTGGCTCCTTGTCCTCTTGGATTTTCTCTCTGTCTTTGTTCTCTCGTTTCCTTCCTCTGTTCCTGCCTCCTCTATTCCCTACATCTCTTTCTGTATCTCCTATGTCCCTCCTTACATTGTTTTATAAAGGTGACCTGGCACCCCCAGGTGTGTGTGTGGTTTGGAGGGGGCTATATGACATAGTTTAAAATCTTAGGGTCATTCATAATGTGAGATGAGAAATTAGAGATGGAAGGAATTTCAGAGGTTGTGAAGTTCAAATCCATTGATAGTACAGCTTAGAAACAGAGGCCTGGAAATGGAAAAAGACTCATCTCAAACTGTATCCTAACAGATATCAATCCCTATTTCCAGTCCTGGGGTAGTTAGGAGCAAAACCAGGCACCACAGTGGGAAGAAATGGCTTTGGGTTACATATAAACTGGCTTCAGAAATGCTACTTCCAGCAAAGAAGGGCCAGCAGGTAGGAGTGTGACGGCGCAGGACAAGGAGGACTGACCGGAGGGAAAGAAGGAGGCCCCAGGTATCAGTGCAGGACCAGTCTGAGGGGCTGTTTGTGGCTCTGGGGCAAATTTTTAAGTTTCATAAATTTGATTATATGAAGACTTTTTGCTCAATAAAGGGAAGCCCACTGTTATTTCGCAAAATGCAGACCTCGGAGAAGGTGCCGCCTCCTCCTCTTAGTCCTAAGGGAGACCAGGAGCAGGGCAAGGGAGTGAGTTGGGCTCTTCTTGCCCAGAAGTTTCCGGTAATATGTTAATGCCTTTATAAATATGAAAGCACCTTTAGATGGTGGCAAGTTGGGTCCCTAAATCCCCTAGGGTCTAAGTCAGTATCCACTTGAATCCAGGAGCTGACCCCTGGGTGGAAGACTCTAGTCCACTGCAGGGCCTAGCCCAATTTAGTAGCCTCTAACCACATATGGCTATTGAGCATGTAAAATGCGGCTAGTTCTGGCTGGGCATCCACAGCACAATGGTTACAGCACCAGCCACATACACCGAGGCTGGCGGGTTCAAACCCAGCCTGGGCCAGCTAAACAACATTGACAACTGCAACAAAGAATAGCTGGGCATTGTGGCGGGCACCTGTAGTCCCAGCTACGTGGAAGGCTGAGGCAAGACAATCATTTAAGCCCAAGAGTTTGAGGTTGCTGTGAGCTGTGACGCCACAGCACTGTACCCAGGACAACAAAGTAAGACTCTCAAAAAATAAATAAATAAATAAATAAATAAAATAAAACAGCCAGGTGCAGTGGCTCACGTCTGTAATCCTAGCACTCTGGGAGGCAGAGGTGGGTGGACTGCTTGAGCTCACGAGTTCGAGACTAGCCTGAGCAAAAAGCGAGACCCCATCTCTACTAAAAATAGAAAAACTGAGGCAAGAAGATCACTTGAGCCCAAGAGTTAGAGGTTGCTGTGGGCTATGATGCCATAGTACTCTACCCAGATTAACAGCTTGAGAATCTGTCTCAAAAATAAATAAATAAATACAAATACAAATAAATAAATAAAATGTGGCTAGTCCAAATTGATGTGTGCTGTAAGTATAAAATGCACACTAGGCTGGTGTGCATTTTATGGTGGCTCATGCCTATAATCCCAGCACTTAGGAGACCAAGGCAGGTAGATTGCCTGAGCTCCCAGGTTTGAGACCAGCCTGTGCCAGAGTGAAACCTTCATCTCTAGAAATAGCCAGACATTGTGGCAGGCACCTGTAGTCACAGCTACTCAGGAGGCTGATGTAATAGGATAGCTTGAGCCCAAGAGTTTGAGGTTGCTGTGAGCTACGATGCCATGGCACCCTACCTAGGGCCACAAAGAGAGACTCTGTCTCAAAGAATAAATAAATAAATAACATAACATAACATATGTACTATTTATTAAATTTTTGATTAAACAAAAAGAGGGGAAAAACCCAAGGTATTCTCAGAGAAGTCCATGGCAGCAAGGTGGCCTGGATTGGCTGGGGTCTGAGGACTTCTGAGCCCAGGCTTGCGATGCCAGTGTAAGATGCTGGGGTTTGCAGTGCCACCTAGTGGCCTTGTGGTGATGAGCTGACTAGCCAGAGTTGGGGTAGAAAGTGCCGGACAGAGAAGTGGCAGCCGGTATGGCTTCCGAGCTGACTGCCCAGGGTCCCACTCCAGTCTGCAGTTCCCTCAGGTAGGTTATCATTTAGGGGTTTTTTGTTTTGTTTTGTTTTGTTTTGAGACAGAGTCTCACTATGTAGCCCTTGGTAGAGTGCTGTAGCATCACAGCTCACAGCAACCTCCAACTCTTGGGCTTAAGCGATTCTCTTGTCTCAGCCTCCCAGGTAGCTGGGACTACGGGCGCCTGCCACAACGCCCGAGTATTTTTTTGGTTGCAGTTGTCATTGTTGTTCAGCAGGCCCAGGCCGGATTTGAATCCGCCAGCCGCTGTGTATGTAACCAGTGCCACATTAGAACCATTTAGGTTCTTACATCAAGGCCCACGAGCTATATTCATCAAAGTGTCTGGCCTACACAGTGTTGACTGAATACATTTTTTTAAAAAATCATTTCACATAAAAATTGGGTTCTTTTCTTTTAACAGGAAGCCCTGGAATCTTGAGCCAACTTCCTGCAACAGCTGGGCCAGCTTTAGCCTTTAGAAGGGCTTTGAATCCATGTCCAACTCTGTGGTCACGTGGCCTGGCTGGCACGGGGGGGTCTGAGTTGGGGGTCCTGGCCCAGGTAGACAAACACATCAGCCTCTTTCTGTTCCACAGCTGGCTGGCCTAGCTGTTCTCTGGGTTGGACGCAGGAACCTGAAGAAAGAAATTCCTCTCTCTTTTCCCCTTCCCTACTGGGCAGTGCGCTCCCAAAGGGAGCAGGAGCACCCCCAGTCCCCTAGGCTAGGGCCTGGCTCACAGGTAAGGCTGGCTGGATGGCCAGAAAAGGAGGAAAACACCAACAAGGGGCGGCGCCTGTGGCTTAAAAGGGTAGGGTGCCGGCCCCATATGCCGAAGGTGGAGGTTCAAACCCAGCCCCGGCCAAAAGAAAAAAAAAGAAAACACCAACAGGTACCCAGGTTGTGTCCACACCTGACACTAAGTCCCCCTCTGCCTACCCCAATCTTCTCTGCTCTGCAAGTGAAGAGAGAGGTTATGCTGAGAGAGGCTAGGCATGCAAACAGTGGCCCTACATACTGGAGTCCTCTGGCGGGGCAGGGAAGAAACTTCAGAAGCGTAGGTAAGTTCATTTAATCCAAGGGAAAGAGGAAAAAAGAATCCCTCGTGTCTGTCCTGCAGCCCTTTGTACCCTTGGCAGCTCACTGGGTGCCAGGAAATCTTATGCGGCTGACAGGGCAGCTGTAACTAAGGCAAACTCCCTTGCTTGCTAAAGCCTTCCTGGGAGCAGCTCAACTTGCTTCAGGGGCCACAGCGACCTCCTGGCATCTGTGGACACACACACATGCTCTGTGTGAGTGTGGGGAAAGCTCGATGTGATCGTGCTCCCAACAGCAAGTAACCCAGAATTTCACATCCAGTGAGGTGGGTTCCTTCAAGGAACCCACTGGGGATGCTCTGTCCTTTCTATCCTTGCTCAAAACCTACCCCTACATCTCTTTGGAGTTATCCTAACCAGACAAATCTTTCACCTTTTACCAATCCTTATGAAGACGCTAATGAAACTCAACTGTATTTATCCCTCCAAATTCTCTCTAGATCGGTTCACGCACCTGCTTCCTCATCTGTGTTGTAACTGGCCAGCACAGACTGTTTGCGATCTGGTCTTTTAACTCACCTTCATGTTCATTTTGTTAGAATAACAGGGTTTGCTCTCCCATACCTCGGTGATCAGGCATTTTTGTTGTTTCAAATCTTTCATAGTTACAGAAGTTCATAGGGCCTCTGTGACCACATTCTCACAAATGTTGTTTTTCTTTTTGGATTACCCTCCTTGGAATATTTTCATTGTGCTTTTGCCAAATTGTTCTCCCTCCCAAAAAGGAACAGATGCACAGAGCAACTAGAAAGCTGTAAACTGTATTCTTTCCTCCATATCCCTGAAAACGCTGGGTTTTATCGTTGCTATTTGTTTTTGCTGCTGAGTCTCAGTCATTGCTAGGGGCAGGTGCTGTTCCCTGTGAGGAAGGCAGCTGGCATGAAGGAAAGGGTTGGAAGGCACATATTTCCTAAGAGGAGCCAAGAGTCCAGGCGTGCAATAGCTTTTTGTGAGCTGTAAAGCTGGTAAAGTGCTGCAGTAATTGCTATTATTACCTTCCCTTTAAAAGTTAACTCTCTTGCTTGAGCCCAAGAGTTTGAGGTTGCTGTGAACTATGATGCTACAGCACTCAACTAAGGTGACAAAAAAGAAAAAAGTTAACTCTCATTTGAACACGGTTCGAGTCGACTGGTATTAATCTTATATATCAATGTAGTTTTTTTCCCTTTCGTATATCAGTTCTTTATATCTTTTGACCTTGACTTAGCAGCTCTGTCTTGCATGTGGCTTTTTCCTTTCTGCAATTTTTCTTTTTATGTGCATGTCATGTGTATCGCTGTACTTTCCCCCCTATATTTGTACAAACACATCTAGTCCCCATTAATAACCTCCATTCCTTTAATAATCACAAATTAAGCTGGGTGTGTTGGTTCAGGAAACATGCCTATAATCCCAGCACTTTGGGAGGGCCCTGCAGGAGGATCACTTGGGTCTAGGAGTGTGACACCAATCTGGGCAACATAGCAAGACCTTATCTCTACAAAGAAAAAGAAAAGTTATCCCAGCATGGTGGCATGTACCTGTAGTCCCAGCTACTTGGGAGGCTGAGACAGAAGGATTGCTGGAGCCCAGGAATTCAAAGTTGTAGTGAGCTGTCATTGTGCCACTGTACTCCAGCCTAGGTGAACTTGTTGTTGTTTTTTTTTTTTAAATCCTCACAGTGCTCACTTTGGCGGGACATATACTAAAATTGGAATGATACAGAGGAGATTAGCATGGCCCCTGCGCAAGGATGACACACCAATTTGTGAAGTGTTCCATACTAATAAAAAAAAGAAGAAAAATTCTCACAAATCCATCTTTTCTCCACAGTAGATCAGTCATCTTGCAGAGTGGATGTAATCTTGGGAAGTAGATTTTAGAAATCAAGCAAGGGTTCCAGAATATCTGGAAGGCACATAACAAAGTCTCTTCTGGCCTGGTTTCCCCTCCATCATCAGGGAGATGAGAGGTATGTGTTAGGTTGATATGTACATGTACACACACAAATATTCACACACCCACACATCTACATAACACACACAGAGTGCGTACACGTTTCTTTAAAAACCCAGAATGCTAAGTAAATACATATCGCCATGCAAATATATGATGTGGGCTCGGCGCCTATAGCTCAACCGGCTAAGGCACCAGCCACGTACACCTAAGGTGGCGGGTTCAAATCCCCAGCCCGGACCCGCCAAACAACAAGAACGGCTGCAACCAAAAAATAGCCGGGCGTTGTGGCGGGCGCCTGTGGTCCCAGCTACTTGGGAGGCGGAGGCAAGAGACTTGCTTGAGCCCAGGAGTTGGAGGTTGCTGTGAGCTGTAAAGCCACGGCACTCTACCCAGGGGGACAGCTTGAGGCTCTGTCTCAAAAAAAAAAAAAAAACAAAAAACAAAAAACAAATATATGATGTGTATAGCCAGACACACAGCCCTCGTAAGACAATGATACTAGCTAATGGGAGTTGAACTTTAAAGTTTATAAAACACCTTTCCATGCATTCTCTCCATGTAACAATCTTGTGAAAAGAATGGCTTTTTTTTTTTTTTGAGACAGAGTCTCACTCTGTTGCCCGGGGTAGAGTGCTCTGGTGTCATACCTCACAGAACCTCAAACTGCTGGGCTCAAGCCATCCTCTTGTCTCAGTCTCCCAAGTAGTTGGGACTTGCTTGGGCTGCAATGCCCATTTAGTTTAGTTTTTCTATTTTTAGTAGAAACAGGTCTTACTCTTGCTTAGGCTGGTCTCAAACTCTTGAGCTCAAGCAATCCACCTGCCTCGGCCTCCCAGAGTGGTAGGATTACAGGCATGAGCCACCGCACCCAGCCAAGAATGTCTTAATAGCTGCCATTCAGGGAATGCTTATGTGGACCAAGCAGTATGCTAAGTGCTTTAAAAGCATTATGTCATTCAGTCTGCATAACAGCCTATTATGTAAGCACTTTTGCCCATTATACAGATGAGAACACTAAGGCTCAAAGTGGCTAGGTGATCTGCTCAAGGTCACTCAGCTGGGCAGAAGTGAGGAGACCGAAGTCCAACACTGTCACATCTCTCCAGCTGCTCACGCGGCTGTGTATATCACGCCTTCACCTGCAGAGGGCGCCTTCACTATTCCCAGGCTGAGAGTGCCTCTGGGTGAGAAGAACCCTGGTTCCTTTCAATCCCAGAGTTTAGGAAATCGAGGACTTGCTGGCCATTTTACCATCTTTCCAGGGAATAAATACCTGAGGCAGAAACAAGACTAAAGCACTGCCCAGGCTGGCCATCCCAAGATTCTAAGATTCTAAGTATATGAAGAGCAACAATTGGTGGAATACCAGAAACGGCTCCTTATGAACCAGTATCAATCTTCACAGCCACCTTGGGGTGGAGTCATGATCCACATCAAAGTGAGGAACTGGAGGCGGAGGGAGGTGGTGAGCAGGGTCAGATCCCAGGCAGATCTGCCCCCTTTTCTTTCCACTGTCAGACCGTGGTGCTGTCAGGTTCAGTGGGCAGGACTGGGGCCAGAGTCCCACATGCCACTCCCGGTTAGACCCCTGGCCCCCTCTGACCAAAGTCAAAGACTTCCTAGTGTCTGTGCCATAGTCTTGACTGTGAAATTGGGAGCCCTGAGGCCTGTGGCTGGGGACAGGATGCTGAGTGTGCCAGCCAGTGTGGAGGCTTGAAGAAAACAAAAGCATCTTTAATTATGCCAGTGTGACTCTCCTCCTCTGCTCTGAGGAACCCCTACTCCTTCCTAGGTCCATGCCTAAGGACATTTCTCCAGCTTCTATGTAGTACCCCATGCTGAGCTGACCAGAAAGCCCTCAGGCCTCTGCTTAAGCTTCTGTGTTTTCAGCATCTGGCCCCACAAGCAACACTGGTGACATTAGTGCCTCAGCCTGAGCTAGACCAGACACTAGCTCACCAGACGCAGAGGAGTTCTCCAGGAAAGGCAGGGGAGCCAGCTGTGCCTCTCCCTCAGCAGCCTTGGCCTAAAGCCCCTCTCCAGAATCCTTCCTGGATCCCAAGTTTGCCCCTCATCACAGAGGTCCTGGAGCTCTATTTGCCTGCCACTTGGGGTACATGCAGGCCTTACAGACCCCCCAATCCTTGGCCCTAACCTGAGCTTCCTCCCCTGAGACTGGTGCAGACTCCCCTTTTATGCCAGCCCTCACTGTGACTCACTGCAGACAGCAGCCCTGCAGAAAGGGCCAGAGGTGAGGCTGACCACATCCTTAGCCTCCCAGGCTCTATTCCTCCTTCCCAAATAATGTCCTCTCCCACTCCCAGGGACACAGGGGGAAGTGTCATCTCTGGATGTCACTTTCCTCCCTTGGGCTTCCCACAGTGCTCAGCCACACCTGGGTTCTTGCCAGGAACCAATGCCCCAAGTACCCTACCTGTGGGCTTTTAGGCCCTGGACCAACATTTCATAGTGAGCCCCAGCCCTCAGGCCTTCCTGCCACCTTGGGCCGCTGAGCCCAGTGGAGTAGTGGTAGCAGAGAGAGATGATAGTTTTTGCCTTTTTATTTGGCTGCTTCTGACTAACTCTGCCGATCCAGCTTGAGGCTGCAGCACAAGCAGGGGAAACGGGACACACACTGTGTCATCAGACCACACCAGGCACCCACATTCTCACACACAGGTCCTGTTGAAAAGCCCACATTCTTCCAAAAAACAGCAAGAGAAAACAGGACTTAGAGGCACAGGAATGTATACGGCACTTTGCAAGATGAGTTCAAGTCCAAACATAAGAGCCAAGCTGGATCTTGCTCTCAGAGCTGCCACCCCAGACTGGGATGTAGGGTTGCCTCCCCAGTTCCTAGAGCTCCTTCCCGCTGGCAAGGCTGCCTGCTCCCCCTGTTCTCCCACGTCTCAGCCCGTTCAGTTTTCTCTGTCCAGGACGTTTTTTTTTTTTTCTTGCAGTCTTCCCTTTCTCAGTCATCCATCCCGCCAGCCCGGTCTCCCTCCAGGTCTGCAGAGGCACTCGCTGGGTGGCTGGGTCAACAGTGCTGGTAGCCCATCCCGGGGCCCGCTCGAAGGTAGCCCCGCGGCCAGAGAGGCGGTCCAGCAGAGGGAGCTCCCGGACATCGCCGCCAGCTTCCCCCGGAGGCCTGGGCCAAGCTCGGAGCCTCCGCCACCGGCCTGGGCCGTCCCGGGGACGTGTACTGGGAGCACGAGGCGCAGCGCGGCGCAGGTGGCACGAAGGGGCCTGCGGCGTCTCGGCGCGCGAGGCTGAGCCCTGCGGAGATCAGGTCTGACCGCGGAGGGCTACAGCCCGCGTCCCTGGTGTCCCCGCCGCTTGTGGCCTGGCCGTGACACTCCAAGTGATCGCAGGGCCAGCGGGGCACGGGGCTGGCGCGCAGGACCAGGGAGAGCGCGGTGATGCGGTGGATGGCCCTGCGCAGCGTGGCGATCTTGGACAGCCTCTTGCCGCCCAGGTCGTGCCGCAGCGCTCGGCGCAGCGCGTTGAAAGCCTCATTGTAGTCCAGGATGCGTTTGCGCTCCCGCACGTTGGCCGCCATGCGCCGCGCCTTGGACCGCACCGGCCGGGCGCGCTTCCTGCCCACTGGCTCCTCTTCCTCGGTCAGGTCGCGGGGGTAGCCGTTCTCCCTCAGCACCCCACACTCCTTCCTGGCCTCCGGACAAGAGCTCCCCACGTCCTCCACAGAGCCCTCGGCCTCCCTCAGGCCCCTGAGGCCTAGCCCTGGAGCTCCTCGGAGCATGACCTCGACAGGCCCTGCTGCTCCGGCGTTAGCTCCGGCTGCCAGGCTGACAGTTTTCCCTCTGAGCACTGGCTCCTGCACGCTGGACACTCCCTGGACAGGCCCTCGCTAGCTGGGCTTTATGGCACCACCACGTGGCTCCCGCCCTCCCCTTCCATCCATCTCCCTCCTCCTGCTTTATTACCTGCCCCGAGGTAGGTTGGAGAGGAAGGAAGCTTGCAGATTCTTGTGCCTGCAGTGCTCTGTCCGCCACACGGAGCTTGTGCCGCCTCACTCCGGAGCCCCTCTGGGGCGGCTGGGTTGCACATTCTTCCTCCTAATCCCAGAGTGCCAAATTTGGCCCCGGGCAGGAGGGCTAATAGGCTTACAACAGGGTGGCAGTGATGGGTTGAGCGTGTCTTAAGAACCTTGAAAGTTCTTGCCAAGTCCTGTGGGCAACCACAGAACTGTCACTGAGGAAAAGCCTGACTGTCCCTGATAAGGGAGGGGCAGATCTGATGGGGGGGGGGTCCTGTAGGTAAGACTGTCCTAGAGCTTTTGGCCTTTTCACCTACCAGAGTGAGGCTGGCTAGATGTGGGGTTTGGGTTTGATTGGGCCTGACTCCCCATTACCTCACTGAGGTCCCTGTCTGCAGACAGCTGGGCTGAGGCAGCTGCAGAGGGTGCTGGAGAAGATTTCTTTGGGCCCATCACGGACATGCGTTAGGGTCCAGGGCCCTTGGGCAACCCTATTTCATGACCCAGAAGTACCATATTAAGAATGTGATGAACAACCTCTCCCCCTGCTCTCCCCAGAGATTTAAATTTTAAACAAGGTCTCAGAAAAAGAATGATGCTCTTTTTAGAGAAGGACCCACAGTGGAATTTCAGGCATCCACAGGTAAATTAAAAATTTGGAAGTAACTTAAGGTCATTCATTCCCAGCCACGATCCAAATACCTCCAAAATGTTGTGGCATTGGTATGGGTATGCAGTTAACATCTACTTTGCCCAAAGCGCATTACCAATAATCCCATTATGTCAAACCCTGACTTTATCCATGGAGGAAAAGAACAGGACACTAAGAAACTGAACATGTGTATTTATTTGGGGATTGTTTGTCTTGTTCACTAAACTAGAAGCATCCTCAGGCCTTTGAACTTCCTGGGTTTTATTTCCCATATCTACAGTACCTGTGGAATTATACAGCAGCTAGACCAGGGTGTTTTCTCCTTTCTATTCAATCTGTTTCCCACCTTCCCAACGCGCACACACACACACACACATACACATACACACATGCATACCTCATGCAGTTGGAGTCTACGAAGTGTTTGGGCCACAGACATCTGAGCCCTCTGGTCTACCCATCCAGCTTGTGACAGGATGTCAGTCTTGCAAAGTCTCAGAGTCAGAGACAGGAGAGAGGAGAAAGCTCAGGAAGTCTGGTTCCTAAGTTCCTAGTCCATGGCTACCTCTGCTCCCACCTTCATCCATGTCCATTGGATGTCCATAGCTCCTCATTGCCACTCTAAAGAGAGTTGAATCACTGTCCTGTTCACCCAGACATGGACCTAGGACCTTGCCTAGACCCTGGACTCAAAGGTGGGAAGACCAAGTGGTGGTACATGGCCCTTTCAGTCCTAGAAGGGCCAGGGGGAGAGGTGGTAAGGTGGGAGAATTTGAGAATTCCTCCCCAGCCAATGGCTTCTTATTACCTGTCCGGTTGTGTGTCCCTCTGTGTACCTCAGCTTCCTTTTCTTTGCCTGGAAGATATCCTCTCTATGAACGAGCACAGGCAGACCCAACACTAGCCTCTTCTTTCAAAGTATTAAGAATTTGAAGATGGGCTGGGCGCCTGTAGCTCAGTGGCTAGGGCGTCAGCCACATACACTGAAGCTGCCGGGTTCAAACTCAGCCTGGGCCTGCCAAACAACAATGACAACTACAACCAAAAAATAGCCAGGCATTGTGATGGGTGTCTGTAGTCTCAGCTACTTGGGAGGCTGAGGTAAGAGAATCCCTTAAGCCCAGAGTTGGAGGTTGCTGTGAGCTGTGATGCTATAGCACTCTTCAGAGGGCAACATAGTGAGACTCGGCTGCAAAAAAAAAAAAAAAAAAAAG